GAACTCCTCAAAAAATATCAAATACCGAAATCACAATCCCCCCCCCCCCCCCCCCCCCCAAAAAAAAAATTTCTCATTGTATATTTAACTTACAATGAATAAATACTTTATAAATGCAACAATTTTTCAGTTACTTTAGATTAAATTATTTTTTTCTTTATGACAATTATTTACAATTATTTTAAAGGTTCTCACGTGTATAGCACATACTCTCTATTAATTATAATATATGACAAAAATGTTTTAAATTATTCATTTATATTAGAATTCTATTTCCATTCTATTTCTCACCATGAATACCCAATTCGCATCAACTACTACATATATTTTGTGTTTAATTATGAATTTTTTATGCTATATATTTGTTGTTTTACATTTTCTCTCTATATTAGGCATTATTCTAGTTTTTTTCCTCTTCAACTACGTTTTTTTCTCTATGTTATGTATTTATTGATGTGTCCACGGCATAGAACTTTCCTTTGTGATACACACAGCCATCAAAGACAGACTCTCCTGGATCATCAATGGCACTTCATTTCTCATCCCTAAATTTCAAGAACCACAATTTCCCATCCTCAATGACAATCACCCCGTAATCAACGCCATTAGCTGTCCACGGATTTGGTGAGACAACAACTTTATCCAGTCCAATTGATACGTTTTGTCTCCAGTTGATCTCAATTTTATTCTTGTGAAGAACAACAAAATCAAGATTATAAACTTTACATATCTCAGTGATCCGAACATTTAGCAAATTTAGTTCCTTAAGGAAGAAGGTTTTGGAAACATCTGGGCCCTAACATTGGAGAGAGGTTTCAATGGATATATTGTTCCATTTTCGATTTCATAAACCTTAAGATTTAGTTTGGTTAGCTTGAACTAGCAAAAAAGGAAAAAAAATAGAAAATTTTAAAAAAAATTAACAGTTTGATTAGCGTGAAAAGAAAAATTTTCAGGAAAGTAATATTCTCGCAATTAGTTGATTTTCCTAAAAATGATTCCTCCAAAAAACACGGAAAAATTCTAGTTTCCCGTGAAAGTTGTATAATTATATTTTGATTCCCTATTATGCCCTTATTAATTGTTTATTCATTCATCTCTTTCTTCTTAGATATATTAGAATTTTGTTATTAGGTTAGTTCACTTCTTTATGATTATTAAAATTAAGACTCTTCACCACACTCACAAAAGAAGTGAACTAATCTAATATAGTAATAGAGTCCTAATATATATTGCAACCTTAAAATAAAAATTACAAAAAAAATTAAAAAAACTATTCAATTACCAAATTTTTATTTAGATATATATATATATATACACTAGTAAAAAGCACGTGCGATGCACGTGATGAATTTTTTTAACTTATATAATTTATAATTTCATATAGCCAAAAGGCCGACCCAAAAAAAAATTAGTACTTCACTTGATCTTAGCCAAAAGGCCAAGAAAGGTTAGCCAAAAGGCCGAGAAAGTAGTATTACACTTGATCTTAACCAAAAGGCCGGGAAAGATTAGCCAAAAGGCCAACCCAAAAAAAATTAGTACTACACTTGATCTTAGCCAAAAGGCCGAGAAAGGTTAACTAAAAGGCGAGAAAAGTGTGATTATTATTTCTTTAGGTCTATAGTTTTATAAGAGGCTTCCATGTAATCTTTTATAACTTAAAACTAATGTGGGATAAGAAAAATGAATTTTATTATGTAATTTGTAATTTGAATTAAACTCTTTAAATTAATTTTTATAAATTTTATTAGGTAATTTGTAATTTGAATTAAACTCTTTAAATAATTTTTAGATAATTTTTTGTTGAAATACTGAAATAGTTTCATATTAGGTAATTTGTAATTTGAATTAAACTCTTTTTTTATATTAATAAATAAATACTACACTTGATCTTAGCCAAAAGGCCGAGAAAGATTAGCCAAAAGGTCGAGAAAGGTATGATTAATATTTTTAATTTGAATTAAACTCTTTAAATAATTTTTAAGTAATTTTTTGTTTATAAAAACTCTTTAAATAATTTTTAAGTAATTTTTTGTTTATAAAAACTCTTTAAATAATTTTTATATTAATAAATAAATACTAAAATACTGAAATGCTAATGCCAAGAAAGTAAGGCCGAGAAAGTAGTACTATACTTGATGCCGAGAAAGTAGTACTACACTTAATCTTAGCCAAAAGGCCGAGCTAAAAAAATTTAGTACTTCACTTGATCTTAGCCAAAAGGCCAAGAAAGTAGTACTACACTTGATCTTAGCCAAAAGGCCGAGAAAGGTTAGCCAAAATGCCGAGAAAGATGTAATTATTATTTCTTTAGGTCTATAGTTTTATAAGAGACTTCCATGTAATCCTTTTAACTTAAAACCAATGTGGGACAAGAAAAATGAATTTTATTAGGTAATTTGTAATTTGAATTTAACTCTTTAAATAATTTTTAAGTAAATTTATTGTTTCTTTTTTTTTTCTATAAAGGTTTGCCAAAAGACTGACCCAAAAAAATTTAGTACTTCACTTGATATTAGCCTAAAGGCCGAGAAAGGTTAGTTAAAAGGCCGACCCAAAAAAATTTAGTACTACACTTGATCTTAGCCAAATGGTCGAGAAAGATTAACCAAAAGGCCAAGAAATGTGTGATTATTATTTTTTTAGGTCTATAGTTTTATAAGAGGCTTACATGTAATCATTTTTAACTTAAAACCAATGTGGGACAAGAAAAATGAATTTTATTAAGTAATTTGTAATTTGAATTAAACTCTTTAAATAATTTTTAGGTAATTTTTCGTCTCTTTTTTTTATAAAGGATGGCCAAAAGGCCGATCCAAAAAAATTTAGTACTTCACTTGATCTTATCCAAAAGGCCGAAAAAGGTTAGCCAAAAGACCGACCCAAAAAAATTTAATACTACACTTCATCTTAGCCAAAAAGCTAAGAAAGTTTGATGTGTGCCGCGCGTATGGGGGTGCCTTGGTGCCCCCTCTTGGCCATGTTGACTCCATTTTTTTGTTTTCACTTTTCTCCTTCATCCGAATTCCAAATCAAGTGATTTTTTAGTCTAACTTCATTAATTTTTCGTCGTGTGCTCGGTGGTACCCTAATCTTTTAAAAAATAACCATTTTGCCCCTAGCCTCCATCTCTATTCTCGTTCTCAACTCTGAACTTGCCTTCTCTCTCTCTCTTTGCAACTGCAAACTACAAAATCTACAAGAATCAGAAGTTCAGAACCCATATAATTCAGTTTATCTATCTATTTGCAAGAATCAAAATTTCAAAACCTATTACCTATATCAAAACCCATATCAGCATATGAGATTGTTCAAAAAATCGAAACCCATATTCTTCAGTTTCCATCACCCATTGTTCCAGTTCGGGTTCACAGTTCGTAAGCTTCAGCCGCTGGCCCGCTATCTCTCAACTCTCAAACCCCTCTCTTTGCAACTGCTAACTTGTATGTATGGGTTTTGTTTTAAATTTTTTTTTTCTAAATCAATTAATCAAGGTCTATAATTCTTGTTTTGCAAACTAAATCCTATTTGGTGAAATTTTTTATGATCTTTTTTATTATTTTATGAATTTTAGTTATAAATATTTGTGAAGATAATGACTAAAACAGGATCTCCTTTTGCAGGATTTGAAAGACTTATTGGTAAATTGGGGTTGAACTTGAGTCTTGAACAAGCTGAAGGCCCTTATCGTGGATAATAATTTTTACAATTTTAGCATCCTATATTTTTAGGGCAAATCATTTCAGCCAACCCAATTGCCTCCATCTCTATTCTCGTTCTTAACTCTGAACTTGTCCTCTCTTTCTCTCTGTGCAACTGCAAACTACAAAATCTACAAGAAACAAAAGTTTAAAACCCATATATTTTAGTTTATCTATCTGTCTGCAAGAATCAAAAGTTCAAAACCTATTACCTATATCAAAACCCATATCGGCATATCATTTCAAATTGTTCAAAAAATCAAAACCCATATCTTTCAGTTTCCATCGCCTGCTGTTCCAGTTCGGGTTCGCTGTTCGCAAACTTCAGCCGCTGTCTCTCAACTCTCAAGCTTGCCCCCTCTCTCTATCTCTCTCCCTCTGCAACTGTTTTAATTTTTTTTTTCTAAATCACCTAATCAAGGTCTGTAATTCTTGTTTTGCAAACTAAAATAAAAGTGTAATCTTGATTTTGAGTTAGGGTAAATTTGGTATCAGAAATAATGCATCAAGCCTCTCTTTCTCTTTCTTTCCATTTCCTCCCATTTTTGGGAGGATAAGAAAGTTACTATTTAATCCTTGTGATATCCTTCCAAAACCATCCATTTCCTTTCCTTCCAACCATTTATGCCAAACACAATTTTTTAATCACCCTCCATCACCTTTCCTTTTTCATTGCACCAAACTGACCCTAAGCATCCTCGGATTGGAAGGTGTGGAATTGGGAGCGTTTGGTTGGGGTAAATGGAAATGGAAATGGAATTTTTTTTTATTATCTCTATGTGGGAAATTTCTCTCCAAAATCGTTATCATCCATCTGACATTGAATTTGGTTTTCAAAAAATCTAATTATGAGAAGTAAATGCAGAGAGCAGGTAGGTGGGGTTTTAAGAGGGAAGGAGCATCCGACTTCTTTGAAATTTATTACATCTCTCCCCAAATATTTATCAATTATCATCCATCTAACATTGAATTTGGTTTTCAAAAATCTAATTATGAGAAGTAAATGCAGAGTAAGTAGGTGGTGTTTTAAGAGAGAAGGAGCATCAGACTTCTTTGAAATTTATTACATCTCTTCCCAAAATATTTATCATCCATCTGACATTGAATTTGGTTTTCAAAAATCTAATTATGAGAAGTAAAAGCAGAGAGTAGGTAGGTGGGGTTTTAAGAGAGAATGAGCATAAGACTTCTTTGAAATTTATTGCAATACTTGCTCATGTATTGTTTTATATATATATTATATATAAAGGAATCCAAGAAATGAATAGTAACATTATGGACTGTACCTACCAGTTAAGAGTGCAGTCTCTCATTAAATACACATCTTCCGTTGTTTCTCTCCATTCTAATGTCTTCCTTTGTGGAGTTGTTTTTGTTCACACTTTCTGTAAGGTCTGCAAAGTGAGAGTAATGTCACGCCCCGCCTATGGAGGTTGTGCCACGCAGGCGACACGCAGACACTGAGGAGGATGCTGCATGGCAACTGCATGGCAAGTGGAGTTTCTAGAGTCTTCCGGAGTAGTCTAGAGTTGTGTGGAAGATTCTAGATATGTGTAGAAATGTGTAGAAGTGTGTGGAAGGTTCTAGAGTTCTCCAGAGTTGTGTGGAGTAGTATGGAGAATTCTAGAATGTTGTAGATACTAGTAGATAAGTATGGAAGTGTGAAGAAGGTGGGAGAAGATTCTAGATAATCAATCTCCACCGTTTGTTAGAATGCATCCTAGCCGTCCATTAGGGATGGGGATGCCTATAAATAGAGGTAGGACTTCATTTTGTAGGAAACAAGTCCTAGAGTGAGTCTTGAGAGCCTTGTAGAGAGCTTGAGTGTTAGCCTTGTACAAAGCATTCTTTGAAGTAATAGAAGTGTTCTTTCCTTGCCAACTTAAGTGCCTTAGTGTGTGAGTGTGCAAGCCAAGTGAGGAGAGGGCAAGGGCAACTACAACACTAGTAAGCGCACGAGGGGAGTGTGTTGGCTAAGGTGTGCACGGGAGTTAGGCTGACCAAGTACTTGCGAGAGTGAAAGCAACGTCTTGGTGCCGCACGGGAGCAGCTAGAGTGGTGCTGAAACTCTAAGCCCGTGACAGTTGGTATCAGAGCAGGTTCGTCAAGGGAGCTTTGTTGGAGTAGACATGGCTAGCGGAGGAGACCACCAAGTCCACATCTTAGAGCAGAGCTTGGAGGAGAAGCTTGCCACACACTTGGTCTACACGGAGACTAAGTTTAACAGGCTCGAGAGAAAGATGGCGGAGCTCTACGAGCTGATTGATGGCATCGCCAACAAGGCGCAAGAGAAAGAAAAGGACTTGCATGATTTGGTAGACGACTTGCGCGTGGAGATTGCCGAGTGCAAGAAGGAGTTCTCCCAGGCGCGCGAGGTCGTGGTGAAGCCAAGGAAGAAGAAGGCGCCGGAGCCCAAGGAGTACGATGGGGCAAGGAATGCGCGCCAGATTGACAACTTCTTCTGGCACATGGAGCGGTACTTCGAGTGCATGGAGATCGAGGATGATGAGGAGAAGGTGCAGACAGGCACTATGTACCTCACGGACACTGCCGCTCTATGGTGGAGGCAGCGCTTCACCGGTAGAGGCGCAAGAGCAGTTGACACATGGGAGGAGTTTAAGAGGCAACTCAAGAGGCAGTTCTACCCTGAGTGCGTTGAGGACCTGGCCATGATCAACCTAAGGCGCTTGAAGCAGAAGGGCAGTATAAGGGAGTATGTGAAGGAGTACTCCAATTTGATGCTGGAGATCCCAGAGATGCCGGAGCGGCAACGCGTGTGCTTGTTCATAGATGGGCTGCAGTCTTGGGTGGCCACGGAGCTAAGGAGGAGGGAGCCTAGAGACTTGGCATCCGCAATGGCTATAGCGGAGCGCCTCGAAGACTTTAGGCGCGATGACAAGAGGGCCACGTCTCCCAGGAGGGACCACGGCAAAGGTGGGGGAGACCGACGCTTCAAGAAACGGGGCTCGCCCAAGTCTAGTGATGATGAGCACAGCGATGAGGAGAGACGCCCACGCCATGATAAGGGCAAGGACCATGGAGAGAGGTCCAAGGCTAGTGGCAAATGGGAGCGCCGCGATAAGGGCAAGTGGGAGCCGAAGTGCTACTTGTGCGAAGGGCCGCACATATTGCGACACTGCCCCAACAAGAAGACCATGAGAGCCCTTGTGAAGGATAAGGGCAAGGGCAAGGTGGATGATACGGGCAGCGACGAAGACAGGTGCATGGGGGCTATGCGGATGCTGAGTAGCATGGCGCATGACACCAAGAAAAAGGGTAAGGTGAAGAAAGTAGCTGGGGTGCGCTATGTGGATGCGCAGGTTGGTGGCAAAGCCGTGCAAGCGTTGGTGGACACGGGCGCCACACACAACTTCATTACCCCAGAGGAGGCGCAACGACTTGGCTTGGAGATGCGCAAGACGGAGGGATGGATCAAGGCCGTCAACTCCGAGGAGACACGCGTGAGTAGAGTGTGCAAAGAGGTGGAGCTATGCTTGCAAGGATGGAAGGGCAAGGCCGACTTCCAAGTTGCGGAGATGGACGACCATGACATGGTGCTGGGGCTGGAGTTCATGGACAGGAACAACGCCGCGCCACTACCATGCCTTGGTGCGTTGATGATACTTGGAGGCGAGGAAGGCAAGGCCGCATGCATGGTGCCGCTCGTGGGCAGGAAGGAGAGTCCAGAGGTGGCAGTCAACACGATGGAGCTCGTGAGGACTTCAAATCTCCCGAAGGGCGCTCGTACGTTTGGGCCAAGGACATATGCGCAAGTGCTGATGACCTGCGAGAGGCTGGGTCAGTTGAAGAAACCGTGACGAGGGCGTCACGGAAATGGGTGGGGGAGAATGTCACGCCCCGCCTATGGAGGTTGTGCCACGCAGGCGACACGCAGACACTGAGGAGGATGCTGCATGGCAACTGCATGGCAAGTGGAGTTTCTAGAGTCTTCCGGAGTAGTCTAGAGTTGTGTGGAAGATTCTAGATATGTGTAGAAATGTGTAGAAGTGTGTGGAAGGTTCTAGAGTTCTCCAGAGTTGTGTGGAGTAGTATGGAGAATTCTAGAATGTTGTAGATACTAGTAGATAAGTATGGAAGTGTGAAGAAGGTGGGAGAAGATTCTAGATAATCAATCTCCACCGTTTGTTAGAATGCATCCTAGCCGTCCATTAGGGATGGGGATGCCTATAAATAGAGGTAGGACTTCATTTTGTAGGAAACAAGTCCTAGAGTGAGTCTTGAGAGCCTTGTAGAGAGCTTGAGTGTTAGCCTTGTACAAAGCATTCTTTGAAGTAATAGAAGTGTTCTTTCCTTGCCAACTTAAGTGCCTTAGTGTGTGAGTGTGCAAGCCAAGTGAGGAGAGGGCAAGGGCAACTACAACACTAGTAAGCGCACGAGGGGAGTGTGTTGGCTAAGGTGTGCACGGGAGTTAGGCTGACCAAGTACTTGCGAGAGTGAAAGCAACGTCTTGGTGCCGCACGGGAGCAGCTAGAGTGGTGCTGAAACTCTAAGCCCGTGACAGTAAGCTCTTCTTTACCCTGCTCATAAGATCTGCAATATATGTTCCTACATAAACTGGATTTAGTAGCAATCTCTGTTCTAAATTGCTCACCGGGGCTGTCTGTCTTTACTAACCTCTCTATTTTCTGAACTTCTACAGCGCTGCTCCTCTCACGTCGTCCTGCCATAAGAGAGGAAGTTGAGTGGAACCCCATTTCACCTTGGTGGTGCCCTGATATTAGGTTTCCAGTAGTAGTTGCAATTTCAAGTGTTCAACATGTCCCCCCAATCATCGATCAGGTAGCTAACTCCTCTTCTACTTCTTCTTCTACCTTTTAATTATTTGCTGATGTATTATTTTATTCGGATTTTGGCATGCTTTCTTTAGCAATTAGCAGTCAAGTTTTTTACCTGTACTTTGTGGTTCTGAATTGATGCTACGATAAGTTGTGAATGCAAATATGTTTCTTTTTTCTTTTTGGTAAGATGTGAATTAACATGCTCGAAAATATTTAAGTCTAAGTTTCCATATGTTTCGAAAGTTCCCTAACATGTATAAATTTTGTGCTTTTAATATAGGTTTGCTTCTTGGAAGTGAGAAGCTAATTGGATTGGGCAGTATCGGTAATGAGTAAGTCATTTTGTGTTTATTTTTTAGTTTCTATTTCAATTTTTTTTTTTGTAAACAAGATTTAATGTCATTTTACTTGGTAGTGTTTCCTATTATATGAACCAAAATGAAACACCACATTAGCGTCCTAGAGTAGTTGCAATCCGTTTGAAATGTCCTATTTTTTCGTCTCTTGAAAACTTTTTTTAGTAGGAAAATTTTACGTGTTAGGGAACTTGGTAGGAAAATTTTATGTGTTAGGGAACCTTTTTTAGTAAAAAATAAACCCCATTTCCATTACCATTTAACCCAAACCAAACGCTCCCAATTCCACACCTTCCAATCCCTGATGCTTAGGGTTTATGAAATCGAAAATGGAACAATATATCCACTGAAACCTCTCTCCAATGTTAGGTCCCCAGACGTTTCCAAAACCTTCTTCCTGGAGTACCATTGATGATCCAGGAGGGTTTGTCTTTGATGGCTGTGTGTCCGGATTTTACAGCTTGGAGGATGGTATTTGCGGACCCCTAGCTCATTGTCCAGACCATTCGTGGATCTTCTGGCCACCCCCAGCTTGGCTTAAGCCAATTTTGAGGAAGAAATGAATCCAAGTCATTCTCAATGTTTGATTTTAGTTGAAAACATATTTAATTATTTTTCACTATGTGGTGAGTTTTCCATTCTTCATTTTATAGTGTCGAAGCATCATGGTGAATATGCAAATTTATGTTGAATGTATCATATTTATAGGAATGATTTAACTTAACACCCTTATCGATCTTTGTATCACCTTATTTTGATGATTTCATTTCATATCACCTATTAATACCTAAAAAATATCACACATGTCAAAAACAATTTAATTCAGTTAGTCCTTGGATTTCTTTCTTATTGGTTCCAACACGATGGTCCAGTCAATTGATCTCTATGTTTTTGAAGTTGTCAAAAGCATTTCTGGATTCATACATAGACTGATTTTCGATCAAGTGGTTTGATGTGAAAACAACATGGATGTGCAGTCAGAAACTAATATTTGGATGGATGTTTTAATATTTCTTTGTAGCACACTGTTTCTATAATTTGTTGTAGATGCAGTGCAAAAGCATGAGTGAACTCATTGTAATATTTGTAACTTTAGTGTGCAACAAAAATAAATAAGATAGGTGACTGAGTAAAGCCAGTGACTCTGGCTTCAATAAAACCATGAGTGAGAAAATCACAAGAAAAAAACTTGTTAGTTGATTTGAGATTACCATGAAATTCTTTAAGTGTCAATTAACAAGGTTGAATTCTACAAAATGATGAAAGAAATTATAATTTTTAAACATCAGCTATTCTTTGCAAGCTAGACCATGTAAAAAAGCAGTTAAATTGCAAATGCTAGAGGATTAATTCTGGCACAAAAGTGTGGGCTGTTTTTCATGTGTCTTATGTTTAATACGACTTTAACAGTTCTTTATTTTTTTTTAATGCTGCATTATAACTATCCCCTTACAAGAATTAAAAAAACAAATAAAAAATCCCCTTAAAAGTCAATTATTTCTTCCTTCAATGTCTTGATGGACACACTGTTAGGCATCGACATTTTACAGTGGAATGTCTCAAATCTATAAGTCCTAAATCGGTAGAAGACAGTTATATTAGCCATATATGCAGGAAACAACTGTTTCTATATATACTTTACATAGGAAAGATATTTTCATCTATATTTGGGTAGCAGCCCGTATCTGCAGTTTTGAAATATGTTTCTAATCTATAATGCAGAATGTTTATGTTTTGCCAGTATGATTTTTATGTACATGAGGAGCTCTGAAATCCTTTTCTCTTGCTTATGCGTGGTTTGGGGTTTAGCATCTGAATTTGTTGAATAACTGCGTGGAACATTTATACTAGTGATGATAAAAAGATATATTGAGCATTGAGGAGATCTTTATTTATATGCACATTTTATGGTCTAGATTGTTGTTTGGAATCATAGAAATTCAATTCGTTAAACCTCAATTATGCAACTGAATAAAGATTCTAATGGATGAAACAAGCTTCCATCTCAAGTTTTTGTTTTGCATATATTAGTCTTTATCTATGAATTTAAATGTAAGGACGCTAACTGGTTCAGCAGCAAAACACTCGAGCATTGGTGCCATTGGCCCGAGTTCAAGTCTCAAAGCAGCTCCTTTGAAAATTAGCAAATGTTAGGTCTTTCTCATGTTCCTTCTCCCCAGGATGCGGGATGAGAACTAGGTAATTCACTTACGTCCTTCAAGGTATGAACTGAAAGGTATACTGGACGTGGAAGAAGGGGCTGAAAGGATCCAAATGTAGGTGGATTTTGGATCTTGTTGTATTGTATCAGTAAAGTGGCCTCTTAACTTACATACATTCAACGTCCTTTTTCTCGATTATAATTTAACCTGTAGAATTTCATGCTTAGGGAAGAAAAACACCACTTGTGTCCGAATGATGGTCCAGAATATAACATGGCCCGATCAAAACTGTTTATGGTCTCTCTTTGATCAATATAACTATTCTTGATATTGCGTAGATTGTAGCATTCAACATAATTGTTGAACATGGGTGACTGAGCCAGTGAATCTTGCTTTCAATTAAACATACGATAGAGAAAATCATAAAGAAAACTTGCCGCTGAGTTGAGATTACTATAAAATTCTTAAATTTTCTACTAATAAGGTGCATTTTATACAACATGACAAAAGAAGTTCAAATATTTGAACTTCTGCATTGCGTGCTTGACTCTGTCAATAAGCTGTTAAATTCCAAATGCTAGTGGATGCATCCAGGCATAAAAAATGTGGGCTTTTATCTTTTCAACTGTTAAAGAGAATTTTTTACAGTCTTTAGAAACGTACATTCTGTGATGCAATTGAAGAAGACATGCAGAGACTTGGTATTAGTTATCAGTTAGTTTTAGTTACTGTCAATATTAGTTCACATACAGAGTTACTCTTTTCACAATGGTGATACTGGTGCTTCTATCATGAATTATTTGGAGTGGCTCTGATATTTAGTGAGATAATTACTTAAGATAGACTCTCTTTGAATCAATCTTGGTGTTTTTCTTAATTTTGACAAATTAGCGTGTAGGTGCAAAATTTCGCTCAACCAATAATGACTGAGAAAAATAAAACAACTCACTCAAAAACAATAAAAATAAATAAGAACAATGTATAGAGAAGTGTGGAATTGCCTGATCCTTTATTGGAGGTCTTAGCCTCTATTTATATACAAAAGATTGCAAAATTATGGTAGGACTCGCGTTGCTTGCCCTCCAATTCTTTCTATATAACCATTCTTTTCTAATAGAGTTCTTTCCATTGTCGGATTTTCCATACATAGAAATTGCCTTGTACAGAACTTCCTATCCGAATTTTCCTTCTACAGTAAATCCTTCAAATGGTAGGATTTGCGCATTCTTGGGCTGAATATATTTTGATTCGGCTGGGCTTGGGTAACAGGCCGGATGTTAAATACTCATACGCTGGGCTGACGACAAGCTGGGCTGATGACTTCTTGATTCGGCCTTGATGGAAGTTAGAGGATAACTAACAATGGTCTTGGGCTGTAAATACCCTCAATATGGGCTTGAGCATGATGGGCCTTATATGTCCTTGGAATGTAGATATGGGTAGTGGTGACGTATGCGCTTCTTATTGGAGGGAGTTTTTTTTCCCTCCACACTTTGCCCCAAATTCCATTTTTAATTGAGTGACGGCTCCTATTAAAGAGGGAATTGAAACCGGTTTTTACTTTGCTTCAGAAACGGTTCGTGGTCTTTCATTATTAATCCGTCACACAAGACTTTGCAAGAGTTACATTTGCCCTTGCTGCACTTCTGCGTCCTTCATTCCATCGCTTCCATCGCTTTGTCAGGTTAGTTTCGCATCTTTCTCTTCAATCTTTCATTATGAGTACTTCATCTACCCCCGAACGTGTAGACCCTGGGGATTCTGAATCCACACCTTCATCTTCCCCCATTCGCATTAGGGCTCCCCCTCCTAGGGTTTCTACAGATCGCCCTTCGTTGAATCCATCAGGTACTTCCCCTCTTCCAACCGAAACATCCACCTCAGGCTCTGATTACGTTCTTACCCATGAAGAGAAGAAAGCAATCATCTCTATTCGCCGCATCAAATTCTCTATTGCTTCGGTAATGGAAGAATTTGATGTTCCTGAAGGAGTAGACATTGCAGAATATCCTGAGGGTGCCGATTTCACCTCCGGCGAGGGAATTGAAGAGGATGAGTTGCTTCTTTCGGTAGGGCACCTTAACGCCCTCCGATTCCCTCTTCATCCCTTCTATCATTTAGTTTTCAATAAGCTAGGTCTTGCCCCCCTTCAAGTAAATCCCAATTTCTTTCGCAAACTTTCGGCGTTGTTGGTGCACTGGAAATTAGAGGCTCTGGATTTGACCCTTGCCGACCTTCTGCTTACTTACAATATATCTAAGCATGGGACCGAGCCTGGTCGCTTCTTTTTTACCTCTCCCCTTCATCAAAGGATATGCACGAACCTTCCTTCATCCGAAAAGAAATGGAAAGAAAGGATGGTTGTAGTTAAAGGAAAATGGTTCGTGTCCCAATCAATTGCGCTTCCCATTCCGCGCAAATTCGGGAAATTAGGTATAGAATATTTAACCTCCCTTCATACCAAGTGTTCTGGCTGTTTTCCTTGCCAAGTCTTAATATTTCGCCGTATTTATGAATTTTTTGGTGTTTTTTCAGCTACATTCCCAGCCTCCGCAGCGAGGAACAGACTTTCTTTTCTTAAGGAACGAGTCTAGAGTGACCCCTCGCCTATCGAGGACCTGCTAACTTCCTCCAACCTCAAGGACATTGCTTCCAGTGCCGTTGCTGCAGGCCTCATGGATCTGGCTTTACCATCCTTTGACAGTTTCCCTATGACCGAGGAAGAGATACGGCGGGCTGAGGCTTTAAAAAAGAAAGCCGGAGATGCCCAACCCTTGGTCGTCATTGGATCAACTGAGGATGAGGTGGAGGTTGAGGAACCACCATTGAAGAAATCTCGCCTCAACCCCTCTTCCTCTGGCAAGGGCAAAGTCCCCTCTAAAAGCAGAGGGAAAAAAGCTGGAGAGGCCGAACCTGAAGATGAAGTCAGAGCCTTTGTTCTTGCTGAGACTGGGGCTCCTTGGACTCCTTCCTTCACCAGGGCTGACAAGTCAGTCCTACACTCAGGGGATTTTGTGGTTACAGACCCTTCAGCTGCACTGGCGGTGGCTCGAGGAATGTGGCTCCCAAAGGACGAGGAAGCCATCAGCCAAATGGGGTTGGAGCAACTACTCCCCTCTGCCCCAGTCCGGGCCATAGAGGTTCGCATTGCACCTTCAGAATTATGTTACTCTTGCTTGCTTGTGTTTCTATTTATGCTTATATTTGCTCCCCTGTTAAACAGAGTCTATACCACACCATAGCCCTCTGCGCCACTGCTGAAGCTCAATCCCTCTCCATCAAGAAGTTGGAAAAGGATCTTGACAATGCAGAGAAGAGAGCCACTACTGCCTCTACCAATCTGAAGATAGCTTCTGAAGCCAAGGATGCGTATAAGAGGCAGTTGTCAGCCTCTGAGGCTAAGGTGGATTCTCTTCAGGCCGAGGTTCAACGCCTGACCGAGGCTCTTACTACTTGCTTCAAGGCGGGGAAGCAAATGCAGGGGCGCTACTCCTGTCTGGCGCACCTGGATAGTGCTAAAGCGTTCCGGTCTGGCTATAATCAGGGCTCAGGCCCTAAGACGATGGATCC